TAATAGCTGAACAAATCTCCTTGAAACTTAGCACCAACCACGAAAGACTTGGATGTTCACAGATGTACCGACAAGCTGCAGAAACAGCCAACCTGCATGCGAGTGACATTACTTTTAGATTCCCTGTACACTCCTCCCGTGATCGCTTTTTGTGTTCTTTCGAGCAGAAAAAGGAATAAACTGGGCGATTTCCATTCAACAAGAACACGAATCATTTATTCACACGCACAAATGTCACTGAGAATATAAAATATGTAAGCTCCAATTTGAGAATCCATTCAATTTATATACAATGAGGTGGTGGAAGGCAAGAAAGTTGCAGCTGAGGGAACTGAGGGATTTCCGAGCTGTCCTTATCTGTCTGTGGCATTTACGTTGACAATGTCCGTGAGTGAAGCCGTAAGACGAACAAGTACCCAAGTAATACCTAAGTTTGGAGGCACAAGATATGCAAAGTGGGCACTTCATAGTTGAACTCCCTGCACTGCAGCCATATATTTGAGCCGTTCCAGCTCCATAAGAACCCTTTGCAGCTCAGCTTTCAGGCGAAGGTTGTCCTGAAAACACGAATGAGTTCTGAATAATTGGTCTTATGAAGCCCGGGGCTCACTTGAAAGCCCAAAAATGCCTTCCACAAAGCCAACCTCTACAATAGAAAGATAACCGGGTTAGTAAGCGCAGAAACGGCGCCTAACCTCCTGTTTTCAAGATACATAGCAAAAGCGGCTTACGACATAGTGTCTGGGAGAGCGAAGCTCGCCTTCCGAAGATGTGGGTGATGCGGTGCCTGCGTCTCGCTCATTTCTTTGTTCTCTCACCCTTTTACGCGTGGTTACTCGTGTGGACACCGTGTGTCTCTTTGTCTTTGGCTCGTACAAGGCTCAAAAGCAACGGCAGAAGGAGGGTCCTATCTGAGACATATTCTATGTCTTGTTCTGTATGACATTTCCTTTATCTTTCATTCCAGAAAACGCCCAACTACATATCTGAACCTCATTACATATCGGATCGTTTTTTCGCATCATTCGTATCGCGTCGTCCTTGCAGAACTTGCATGTAAATCTACCCTTCTAGGAGCTAAGCATATTCTTAAAGAAATAAAAGCCTTCTGCAGAAGTAGATGTGGATATTTCAAATCTTCGAGCAGTTTCTGGAATAGGTTACGCGCTACGCTAAAGGGCTGAAAAGGAATGTGCATGTTTTCTGCGCTGGCAAAACGATATATGAATCGTTCTTACCTGCTGAACCAATTCCAATTTTCTGAAATTTATGTCCTCTTTTTGACGTCTCGCTTCCCTCGATCGTCTGGCCGACTCGTTGTTGCGCTTTCGTCTCTCAAAATATGCCTGAAAAAAATCGAACGTTCATGTGTACTGAGCTTCCACGGGGACTTATTAGTGGAGTCACGCTTACACTGCTTCCCAGCTCACTATTAGCAATTTTATAGAGTTAGAAGGGGAAAACACCCTTTCATCCGCTGACCACTTGAAAATATTAGATGTTGAGTTCGTTTA